TGCTCAAAACAAATAAATTATATTACATTATTTTATTTCAGAAATTTTAATTTTTTCCTGACACGCGTGGTCAATTTCTTGTATTTTGACCTGACACTTAAGTGGTTAAGAATATCTATACTATATTCATATAAATAACTTCTTATCATATAAAACTAAGTTCCTGTTTTTATACATTGAATTTAAAAACTCTTACCCACATAATAAGAATAAAGCTATTATACGGGGACAGTAGAGGCCATTTTGCTCTATTCTTGAATCACAACATAAGTATGTTATTTAGAAAGCAATGGAAGCTGTCAGATTTCTTAAAGAATTGAAACTTTTTGCTAATAATTGACTTATAAGAGATATAAAGTATTTAGGGGAAAGGTGTACGAGATGATCCCCCTAAGGGAAAAAACCTATTATTCAAAGAAAAATCAACATATTCGAGTTTTTTTTGTACGCACTACTAGATAATTAATCTATCTAACTATTCTGATTTGAAATATTTGCAGCTAATTAATAATTTACTATTAAATTTAATTTTTGTAAAACCTTACAAAAGGATCATCTTGGACACCGGGGTGTCCAAGATGATCCCCATGGTATGGGCAAGATGAACCGTAGAGTTATCTTACCCCAATTATTGAAAAAGGAGTATAAATTGAAGGAATAACAGTGTATCAATGTTAAATATACTTTATTTAGGCCATAAACGCTTTTGACCACTCACCACGATTCGTTTTCCTATTTTATAATTACGAGGCATTGTCTACAACGAGAAAATTAATAAAATAGATGTAGATGTCAACTTTTTATTTTAGATAAGTTAGTTTTCATAATAAAAACATATAAGAAGCGAGAAAAATTGAATTTTTTATTAATACTAGAAAATTCACTTTGAGGTGAGACGAAATACATGGGAATCAGGGGGGATCTTCTTGTACACCCATTCAGGGATCATCTTGCCCTAAATGCCACTATTTTGTAATTTGTTCGTAACTTAACCTACAAGCTCTGTTATTCCATAATACCAATCAGAACACTTAGTTGAAGATATACTGAAGCCGTGAGTACAAGAAACATGAAATTTCAGCTACTACAACAAAAGTTATCTAAGCCCAAAGTTAAGCTTTCCTTAAATCAAAAGTATGAAATTTTCATTTTTTCCAATAGAATTTTTTTAATGACGCGTGTTGTCATGACAGTTTGACTGATTCATAGATATGTCATTGGCAACGTATTACCGTATTTGCCTAAAAGGTGGCGCTAATAGGCTCTCCAAAATTCAAAAGGATCATCTTGCCCCAGGGGATCATCTCGTACACCTTTCCCCTAGTTAACATTTTACAGACGGAACAGTAGTGGACAACTATGTTACAACCGTTAATCAATTATTTTTCTGCTCCACTATATAATTTGTAGGGTAGAGACCAGAACATTCTAATTGCTTTGATGTTTTAAGGTTATTCATTTATTATTGTAGCATCGGTAAAACAGGTAAATGAATTCATTTTGGCAGAATATAAAATATGATAATAAATGACATGTTTTTAATCATTTCTTAAAATGATATGCTTGAATTTTATATGAAATAATTAATGAATTTTAAAATATAAGATTTAGAAATTATAAAGAATTTTTGTTTAAATCTAATACAAAAGAATGTATATATTAATTATTAGAGGCAATGTAGTGCAAGTGCCTCGAGGACAGGGACAGTAGGGGACATTTAGTCTGCTTTTAGTCTGTCATTTCGTTTTAAAGCACCTCAAAGTTCTTCTATAAGTTAATAAAAAATTAGAGTATATTAGATATTAATCAAATAAACCAAACAATATTCATTTGCTAGCTAAAAACTTTTTTTCTACCAAGGGACATAGATTTTACATTTTAAATGAAATGAGCCATACACGTTTTGAGGTACAGAAAAAAATTTTTATTTACAACTTTTGTTACAAAATAGGGCCTTAACTGACGATAAACAGAAAATGAGTTTTTTTCGAGAAGCGAATCTGCGTACAACATAACATTCTCCGAACAGCACCAGGAGAAAAAAACAAAATTTGTTGTTAATCTACATTACTTTTGCTAGATAAGTACCCACATTGTAATCACTTTTAAAACGTTTAAAACATCTATTCTTATTTTTCTAACTTCCATCTTAAAAACTAATGCATTTTAAGATGCTTTTAATAACTTTTTGGAAACAACTTAAAAGTGACTACCAAAGTATCTTAAAATAAGAAGCCTTCTTTTTACAGTGTTTAACTTTTTTTTCATTTTTTAACTAAAAATCGACTTTAAATTGTTTATAACAATCTTAATTATTTATTAATCTTAAAAAGCGTGTGTACTTCACACTAAAAAAAAGTTTTACTTTCAGCCTATTTTTGAGGCTGAATTTAAGATGTAAACGGAGTCAGCCCCGTTAAACAAGGACAGACTTACGTGAAAAACATGGGTTGAATTTAAGGTGTAAACGGAGACATACATTTTTTTCCTGTGTTCCCTAAATAATTTATCTGAGAAGTTACAGTTAAAATTCCAAATGAATCCGTCAAAAATTGAGCGAGTTAAATTGTACGCAGTTTTGAAAAATGTAGTTTTGAGAATATCTCATTTAAGATTTTAGGGCGCATTTACTATATGACATATTTAAAATATGACTTAAAAATACATAGTAAAATATAATAATAATATTATATAATATATATATAATATATATAATATATATAATATAATATAATATAATATAATATAATATAATATAATATAATATAATATACTATAATATTATAATATATTATAATATATTATAATATATTATAATATATATAATATAAAATAGTAAAATACATAATAATATATATTTTTAATACTTAAAAATTTGACTTAACAATTTTTTCACTTTTTCTTTGCTTTCTCAGCACCATATAACCACTGCTTTATATTTTATATTATAATTAAACTGATTTGTACCCTTCAAAATTATCAACAAACTATAATACGTTTAAAATTTTAAATTATCATGTTAAAAGTAGTTTATTAGATTTTCCCCGGCAAAATAGTATTTAAATATCATTTTTGGATAGTTTATGCATCATTTAATCAAATAAAAAAAAAATTGAAAAAAAATTTTTTTGCTGAGTAGTATTACCCCTTAATGAAGAGTGTAAATTAATTCAAAAAAACGAAGAACTAATTCTACATTCGTAGGATTTTGTGTGGACGTACCCAGTGAGAAACTTCTTACCGGTCCAATATCGGTCCAATATTGGGAGCCAAGAGACCAATCATCGGTCCAATAAAGGCTCCCAATATTGGACCAATATGGGCTGATGCTTGGGATGTAACGGGTTCGCCAAGCATCGGTTGTTAATATTGGTCCAATATTGGCAACCAAGAGAAAAAAATTTTTTTAAATAAATTTTTTTAATTAAATAATAATAATAAAAAATTAATGTTTATAATTTTTTTTTAATATTTTTATTTGTTTAATTATTTATATTTAATAATTCATGTAAATAATAAATAATTTATTATTTATAAATTATAATTATTTAAAAATGCAGCAACTATTTTGAAATAATCGAAATAGCATTCTGCAAAAAAATTCTATCATTGAAAAATCAATGATAGGCGAGAGATATCCGCGTCATTAAATGTGACTGTCCACGAGAAAACAAGGCTTAGCTCCCAAACGTGAATTTCACAGGGCGAGCGATTGAAGTACTACGATTAATGTTAACTACGCTTGACATACCCATCTTTAAAACGATATATTGTCGAAAGTAATTGATATTTTTAACTTCTGACTTTTGCATTTGAAAAAGCAACATAAAATCTGTCGATTACCATAAAAAACTCAAATTGATTTTTTCGACCTAAGCCGTGTTTTATCGTGGACAGTCAACGATTGAGGTTAACTACGCTTAACATACCCATCTTTAAAACGATATATTGTTACGTCAAAACGAGAAACCTTTTTAAATATACCTAGCGTTCCTCGTTTTAAATTAGTTTCATAAATGAATCTAATTTGGGATGAGGATAAGTCAATGAGCCTACTAAATGTGAGAGAATAATTTATTTAAAAACCAACAAGAAAGAAAAGAGTTGACAAAATTACAATGAGTACAAAATTATGAATCTTACTTAAAGAATAACGATTACTGGTGGTGTGATGATAATCTCCTGTTTAATCTCAATGGTGTTGAGCACTAGACGAAAAGGGGGCCTTCTGCTTGTTGTCCTTAATGGTTGGGTATTAATCCTCTTGTTTACACTAATGAGATAGTGTATTGTATTGTTAAAATATCTGCTTCCTTCCAGACGGTTGTCGCCTCTTGAGCAAATTTCGATGGTTCGAAATTTGGAATGTGTTGTTTCAATATTAGGTCTTCGTTGATAGTTGAGATTATTTCCAATTTAATATTTTTGGAAATTGTTTAAAATTTATACTTTGCAAATTTATTATAAGAGGTTGTTTAAAGTTCACTTCTTATTTAATACTTGGGGAAATTGTTCACTTTTAACAATGTACGTTCAAAATAATACTTGGGGTTATACGTTTCACTTTCAAAGGTGTACTTTGAATTCACTTGTAAACTATGTGATGTTTACTTGTAGACAATCTGATGTTGACTGAGCGATGTGTACAGGTTGATTCCCAAAAAATTACTCTCTAGTCTCTTGTTCTGAACGATGTGTTCAGGTTGATTTCTAAATAGTTACTCTCTGATATCTGCAGAATTTGTATCCCTTTTATATAAAACTGTCTTCATTAATGTAATGCTTTGGAATCATTCAAGAGTGGATTTTAAGTTGCACGTGTCGATATTGGTCAGATTTTAAGTGGGGGTGTCGGGCGACGGCAATGCTGCTGCTATACGGGGCGACTGTTGACTCTTCTTCTGTCGCACGTGTCGATATTGGTCAGATTCTAAGTGGGGGTGTTGGGCGACGGCAATGTTGCTGCTATACGGGGCGACTGTTGACTCTTCTTCTGTTTTTTAGTTGGGTTGAGGGGCGAGTCGCTCGTTGCCTTGTTTGTTTTCCTTCATGTGGCGAAGATTATTTGAAGGTCGTTTAACTGATGCACTATCGTTATTCTTTTTACATGATTTAAAATATTACTCATCTTTCTTGAATTCATTATACTTGCAAATTGTTTAGATACATATGAGATATATAAAATATGCTAATTATAATGCAATAATGTAAAATACATAGAATAATATGACATATAAGTAAAATACAATATAAAAAATAGGAAATACATACATAAGTATCGAAGTTAAATTAGGTATATTAACAAGAAGTTACGGACGTAACAGTATTGTCGAAAGTAATTGATATTTTTAACTTTTGACTTTTGCATTTGAAAAAGCAACATAAAATCTGTCGATTACCATAAAAAAATCAAAATTGATTTTTTGGACCTAAGCCTTGTTTTCTCGTGGACAGTCACAAATAGATTCGCAGATATACTCTGGTCTCGCGACGAAACTCTCGATACTTATATACACTGGAGTCGCCGTGTCAGTTGCGAGAACGGTTACAGCGTCCCTCTTGCGGCAGAGATAAGAATTGTCACGTAAACTGCGGGTATAATAAGGCCGTCGGTAAAGCGATTTAGCAGTTTACGTGACAATTCTTATCTCCGCCGAAAGAGGGACGCTGTAACCGTTCTCGCAACTAAAACGACGACTCCAGTGTATATAAGTATCGAGAGTTTCGTCGCGAGACCAGAGTATATCTGCGAATCTGTTTAATGACGCGGATATCTCTTGCCTATCATCTGCGAATCTATTTAATGACGCAAATATCTCTCGCCTATCATTGATTTTTCAATGATAGAATTTTTTTGCAGAATGCTATTTCCTAATAGCTGCTGCATTTTTAAATAATTATAATTTATAAATAATAAATTATTTATTATTTACATGAATTATTAAAAATAAATAATTAAACAAATAAATATATTAAACAAAAATTATAAACATTAATTTTTTATTATTATTATTTAATTAAAAAATTTATTAAAAAAAATTTTTTCTCTTTGTTGCCAATATTCGGCCAATATTGGACCAATATTAACAACCGATGCTCGGCGAACCCGTTACATCCCAAGCATCAGCCCATATTGGTCCAATATTGGGAGTCAATCGGCACCCAGCACGGCAACCAATATTGGACCGATTAAAGTCTATTGGCAATTTCTCACTGGGTATAAAAAATACCTAGGTTTAAAATTCGTAAACAAGTATATAGCAGATTTTTAAATAGTTCATAAAGTGTATAAAAAGAGATGTGTCAATGATAGAATATTTAAAGAAATAACATTATTTTCAAATTTGTTTGTTATATTTTCATATACATAAATAACTAACAATTTGAAAAAATAAAAATTAATAACATTTTTTCCTTAAATCACAAGGTGACTTTTTTACCCCACCCTACTCTACTATATCTTATTTTAGAAAAACTGCTTCAAAACCAGTAAAAACCTAATTTTTCATTTGTCAATTTTCTTGTGCATAAGAAAACATATTTTCTACAATAAATTACATATGAATCTCAAAAACTAATAATTTTTATGAAAAATAAAAATTCAAAAGAGATTTAAAATATATTTTCCGGATTATTTTATTTTATGGTCATTGAATTTCTCACAAAAAAATTACTGTAAAAATAATTTTATGGATTATTTAAAATATTTTCTTGATATACTTGAAAATATCGGAATGTACCTTTCCCTTAATAGTAAAATAAAAAAGCGATTAATTCTGATACCGATATATGTCTGTCAATAATAAATGCTCAATTAATTTTACATTTTTCGTTAAAAATGAGAGGGGACAAATGTTTTCCTACCCAAAAAATGATTAAATTTTTGTGTATATGTATATGTGCGTGGACAAAAATTAAATAAATATTGTTTGAATTCCATGCTGTTGATAAAGGAATACGTTGATGGAATATGTATTGGACTTAATTGATTTGATCGTCCTCACCGGAACATTAATGAACAACTGCGTACAAGCTTCCGGGAAGGTACATACCGATTAATATCGTAACATCGTTGAGAGACTCGATAGAATTATTCGTGAGCTTCATATTACCATACTGATTATATAAACGTAATTTAATTTCTATGCGTAAATTTAGCGTTCAAAACCACTCCAGTATTATTTTATCTCTCTCTTTTTTTAAAATAAATTTTAAAGTATTTAACATTTCACAGTAAATATACCTTTAATATTTATAAATAGAATCACTTTAAATCTTTTAATCTATATTTACAAAACTAGTCTATTTATGACTATTTTTTGCAAAAGTTACTTAATTAGGTCAATAATTGGAAACACACAGATTCACTTTACTTGACCACGCGATAGATTTATTTAGACCGCACTTTGAAATAGGGTTAAACTTAATTAAAGATCAAGTAGTCTTTTAACCAAAATAAACCTGTCTGATGGAAAATTTGTTTTTAATGCAAAATCTATATATATATATATATATATATCTGTACGTCCACATGAAAAGAAGGGCCCATATTGTCGGTTCTAGTTTTCGAGATAATCGCAATTTAGTAATTTTTGAGCAAAATCTTAATTTTTTGTTTATTTTTTATTATCAATCTACATGTTTTGACAAGTCGAATCATGCGGTTTTCATTAATTTATCGATAATTTAACTGTTTGATTTCATTGGTTCTTTAGAAAAATGAAAAGGTCCCTCTTGATTTTTCATCTTAAGGGGTCCTGGACTGTAAACAATTCTTATCTAAATAACTTCCCAGAAAAACCAGAGATATTGATGTTAGAGTCTATATATATATACTACCGTCCGTGAGTATCAGGACGCCCCTTTATTCATGAGTGGAAAAATGCTTAAAACGTAGAAAATAAGAATGACAAAAATTTTTCTTATTTTTTTCCTGAAAGCTAATGAAATTATAAAAAGTCTGACACCTGATCAAAGAATTTTCGTTGACTATTCTGTCAGATACAGAAAAAATACTGGATTAAGCATGCTTTTCGTAATTTTTTAATTTATCGAAATCTAATTAACATTTTTTAGCGTTCTTGGTCTTGTTTCAATCTCTATTCAATGTAGAATCAAAATTAATTAATGGTATTGTGATATAAATTTTTCCAAAAAAATTTGAAACTGTGAAAGTCGGATAAAAAAATTTTGAAAAACAGATTGACACTTTTTAAAAAAAAAAAATTTTTTAATTAAATAAAGAATTAAAAAGCTTTTTTGAATTTTAGTATATCTATTAAATGAACATATTTTACATTGACCTTTTTGACACTTTAATATTCATGATAACTTTTTGAATTTTTTTAATCCTACTTTTACGGTTTCAAATTTTGTTGGAAGAATTTATTTCACAATACCAGTTAATAATTTAGATTCTACATTAAATAGAGATTAAAATAAGACCAAGAGCGCTAATAAAAGTTAATTAGTTTTCGAGAAATTAAAAAATTACGTAAAGCATGCAAAATCCAGTATTTTTTCTGTATCTGACAGAATAGTCAACGAAAATTCTTCGATCAGGTGTCAGTCTTTTCATAATTTCATTAGCTTTCAGGAAAAAAATTCGAAAAATTTTTGTCATTATTATTTTCTACGTTTTAAGCATTTTTCCACTCATGAAAAAAGGGGCGTCCTGATACTTACGGACGGTAGTGTATATATATATATATATATATATATATATATATATATATATATATATATATATATATATATATATATATATATTTTCCTTTTAAAGATAGAGACAATTTTTTTTCGATTTGAATGTAAAAATAATAGTTACAAAAAAAAACTCTAAACCTGAAACTAAAGTTAATTGACAAGTGTCAACAAGTACCACGTGGCACTGATAAATAAATACAGTGGATTCTGGCAGTGTGCCATATTTATGAACATGTCTCCTATTCTAAACTCAAAAACAATTAACTCTTGTAGGATGTAAAAAAAGTGATGAGAGCACGGATGTTAAAAATATTTAAAAACAATAAAATTGTTGTCAATGTTTAGAATTTTCTACTTTATTAAACGATTTTTGTTTCGTTTAAATATTTATGATGCACAGGATGAATCAATTTTGAGGAAGAAAATAATTTTTTAATTTTCACATTTTTTTCGTGTTTTAAATTAAAAAAAAGCTGTAAAAAAAGAATATTTTAACGATTTTCGTGTGTCATCATGCGAGTGTACAATTTTTAGACAGAAAATCAGATGAACGCGTTTATATAAAATTCATCGAACTAAAAATGTTCTCTCATGCACAAGAAAGCCGAAAATGAAAAATAACATATGGAATTTAAAAAGCGTAAATTGTATAAACACTTCTTTTACTCAAATTATGTTTTAATTTTCAAAATTAAAGTAAAGTAAATTTGTTCAGTAAAGATATAGTAGAATTATGATTTTTTTGTTATTTACTGCATAAAATTGATAAGAAAATATAGGAAGTGAGCCTCGAAAACTGTTCTTTTGAATTGTTTGAAAATTATATTTTGGGCAATTCAATTTGCAAATTTTGAAAATAATTGAATTCTTAAAAATTTTAATAAAAATCTTCAAATGAAAATTAAAAAATGAAATTACTAAAAATTAGCTTAAGAACTTATTTTTAAAAAAAATTGAGACTTTCTTGACTTTTAATTGAAATATTGCAACAAAATACCACATTTTTTAGAATAAAATTCAACTTATTTCGATTTTTATAGTGCGAAAAATAACTATAAACAAATCTTTCAAAATTATATTTTTGAATAATTTTTTACAATAATAAGATTTTAAAAATATACCTACACTGAGAAAACTGGAGAGTCAAATTCAGAGGTTCAAAAAGTGTATGTTTCCTTTGCTTATGAAGAGAGTTAAATAGTCCTAAAATAAATTTTGAATTGATAATGGAAATCTACTTGTATATTCTCTCCCATTATATCTAAGGGTTAAAAGTTGCGCAGAAAATGTGTACGATCTGATGCGCGCGAAATTATTTTTCTGACATTTTATGTATTTAATTTAGGGGTTAGGTTGCCATATTTATTCATTTCGCGCCGGATAAGGAAGGGAT